ACTGCTGTAGCTGAACCCAGGACAAGAACAAAACCCTCACTGATGAAACTAGTACAAATTCACAAAACCTTAGTTAGAATGCTTTAAAAAACTGCCACAAAAACTCAAAACAAAACAGCAGGTTACAAGCCTTTTCAGATGCTCCTGCATTAGCCTCAGGCTGCAGGTGATAAATCCAAAGCTGTGGCACACTGTGAATCCACAGGAGAGACTTGTGCTCCTGGAATGCTGGAGACATGGGAGGAGAAAGCAGCTGAAAACAGGTTGGAGGGGTTTGTGAGGCATAACCAAAGGCATCAGAAAGGAGAGTGATGTTAGAAGCATTCTGAGCACAAGCCTTGTGTTGCTTTTAGGAAAAGCAGGGACCACATCCTGCCAGGTTCCCCACTGTTATTATAGAATCATAGAATCATAGAATAGTTACGATTGGAAAGGACTTTAAGACCATCTAGTTCCAACCCCCCTGCCATGGGCAGGGATGCCTCACACTAGATCATGTTGCCCAAGACTCTGTCCAGCCTGACCTTGAACACTGCCAGGAGCATTTACCACTTCTTTTAGATTTAGGCCAAAGGATTTTAAAATCCTCTGCTCCAGTTTTCCTGATGTCAAGCTTTCACAGTTTGTGTTCCCATCCTCCTACTGCATCGTCACCACGTGAGAAATGCATTTTGCCTTTATTGTTAAGTCATTCTGTGCCACTGTGTCTCTGTACCCATGGGAACTTTAGAGGGACAGTTACAAACTGGCTGTGTTCTTTATTGCTCTTTTTTCTCTTATTTTAGTCAGCACAGAACATAATACAGTCAAAAGAATGAAACAATAAACCCCCTTATTATGTTATTTGCCTTTTAAAACATTATTCTTTTATTTTTTGTTTTTCCCAGGGGGAAACTGCAATACTGTCCTCGTGGCAAATGTCTGCGGGGAAGCTGTGCACGTGGAACACACTGTAAGTTGAACTGATTTCTGCAGAATTTGAGTCTTGTTCTTGCTACTGTTGCAACTGGCTGTAGCTTGGTTTAAAGAATCGTCTCTGGAGGGCTATGGCAGGAGTCCCAGAGCAACATCCTGCCTGATTTATCTTATCTCAAAGGCTCAGAGAAGAGATTGCTCTCACCAATCTGCTTTGTGATGCAAACAGATGAGTGGTAACTGGCCCGGAGGGAGAAATGAGAGCCTGAAATAGAGCAGGGACAAGCAGCTAAAATCTAAGCACACTGAGGAGTGGTAATTATTATTGTTGGTTCAACTCTGTGAATGCGTTTGAATGGTACATCGCGTAATGAGGTCAGTGGGATTGCACCGGTTCACAGCTGAGCTGGCTTTCTGCTGCTTCAGGAAGCAGGAATAACCTCCTAATGGTGGGGGGTTTTAACCCGTGAAGTAATGAAATTGGTGAAAGTCTCACTGTGTGAACTGAATCCACTTAACCACATCTGTAACAGAGAATCATAGAATCCTACAATCCCAGGTTGGAAGGGACCTCAAGGATCACCTGGTCCAACCTTTCTAGGCAAAGCATGACCCAGACTACATGGCCCAGCACCCTGTCCAGCCCAGTCTTAACAGTGTCCAATACTGAGGAGTCACCACTTCCCTGGGAGATTATTCCAATGGCTGATTGTTCTCACTATGAAAATTTTTTCTCTTGTGTTCAGTTGGACTCTCCTCAGGAGTTAACTTGTGCCCATCACCCCCTTTCTTTTCCATGTGGCTCCTTATAAAAAGGGAGTCTCCAGTCTTTTTTGAAGCCACCCTTTAAATACTGGAACATGTGATACCTGTGATAAGATCGTGGAACATGGTGATAAGATCTCCCCTGAGCCTTCTTTTCTGTAGGCTGAATAAGCCCAGCTGTCTCAGCCTTTCCTCCCATGGTTTCCCAGTTCTTCCATGATCTTTGTGGCCCTTCTCTGGACCCTCTCGGTCCTGTCCACATCTTTTTTCATAGCAGGGACCAAACCGGAACACAGTATTTCAGGAGTGGCCTGACAAGTGCCGAGTAAAGTGAGACAATGATAACTTTGTCTCTACTGGCTCTGCTGGTGGTGCCTTTGAAGGGAATCACTTTGCTCTTTGCCAAGAAAAATGTATGTATGTCTGTCTGTAGCAAAAAAACCCAACCAACAAACCAACACCAAAAACCCCAAATTAACCTCTTGGGTAGTTGTTTTCAAGTAAGGCAGAGTTGTTTTATCATCTTGTGTTCTGATAGCATCTAGCGGCAGTATTACTCAAAAGTCAGCTACTATGCTTTGCATCAAGAGGAGGATTTTCAGGCTGTAGGGGCTAACTCTCAGGATACCACAATTACAGGAGTTAAACTTGAAGGCCACTGATGTGTGATTTGGAGTTTTTGGGATGTGTCATTTTGATGAGAAATGGGAGTGGGTATTTTTGAGATCACTGCTCTGGTATGCACAGAGCTGTCCACAAGCAGAACAGAAAGGACAAAGACATCGTCTGAAGCTGGCTAAACACACAGAAGCCACTGAGCACTAGAAGGTACGGTCCCAGAATAAGAAATCCTATATTGCTGCCTGCAGTTAAATAGCTTTTGTATTTCTGTGTTCTGGGATCTGATATGATTAAGAAGTAACAGATTATGAAAATTATATCCTTGCTAATATCTTTTTCAGTTGTCTTCTCTTCGGTTTGCTACCAGAATGAAATGGATCACCACAGAGCCAGTCCTCAATGAGAAATATGACCAAGAGGTACGTAGAGAGGGGGAACAGAGGAAGGCGATTTTTCTCAGGTTCATTAATATTTAAGATAATGACCTTAAAAATCAGAAATTTGATAGTGTAATGAATTACCACTTATCAGATGAGCTGACACTTGCTATATTTAGGTAACCGGTGAAACCGATTAGTATTAAACCTTTTTTCATTGGTATTTAATTATAGTTACCTTGAATATGCTGCAGGGTAGTCATGTAGATTGTCATGTCTTCCCTGCCATGTGGTAATTCTTTCAAGTGCATGCATACAAGTCCCCCATTTTTCTGATAAGATTCACCTCTTAACAGAGATATTATGTTGTGGGTTACTCCCCTGGTCTGTGGGGAAATTCATAGGCACCTCTCCTATGGAGACAGGCTGAGAGAGCTTGTTCAGCCTGAAGAAGAGAAGGCTCCGGGGAGACCTTGGGGCAGCTTCCAGTGGCCAAAGGGGCTGACAAGAAAGCTGGAGAGGGGCTTTTGAGAGAGGCAGGCAGGGACAGGACAAGCGGGAATGGCTTTAAACTGCCAGAGGGGAAGTTTAGATGAGATCTGAGGAAGAAGTTCTTCCCTGTGAGGGTGGTGAGGCCCTGGCACAGGTTGCCCAGAGAAGCTGTGGCTGCCCCATCCCTGGCAGTGTTCAAGGCCAGGTTGGACGGGGCTTGGAGCAACCTGCTCTAGTGGAAGGGGTCCCTGCCTGTGATAGGGGGAGTTGGAACTGGATGAGCTTTAAGGTCCCTTCCAACCCAAACCATTCTAGGATTTTATGAAATGATCTGCAGTCCTACCTGCAGCTTTACACAGCATTATCCCAGTACTGCTGGTAACAGAACATTTTTGCCACAATAACAAAACATTTTTAAACTAGGAAATAACTTACAGAAAATGATTATATTATTTCAGATGTCCTGAGTGCACTTTCAAAGCTGAAACAGCTGGCAGCAGTGAATGCTCTATGAATTACTGATGGCCCAAGGAACAAATTTAGAGCTATCTGATCCATAACATATGTGGTGTGTGAGAGCCCTGCCATATTTCACGGTCTAATCTCACTGGCAAGCAGAGAAACAGTTGGGGAGTTTCCTCCAATGGCTTCCAGAACAAGTTGTGCAACAAACTGTCTTTTCCTCTTCTGTGCCTTTCATATGAGATGTGTGGAGTGGGAAAGAGCAGCTGAAAGAGTATCATGGAATCCTAGAATGGCTTGGGTCGTGTTTGGCTTCTTATTGACCAACTCCGACAAGTCCTTCTCCTTAGGGCTGTTCCCAATCCAGTACTGTTTAATTTGTCTTTAAGAAAGCTATTGTGCTTTGATGCTCAACAAGTCACTTAAAAAGCAGCTCAGTATCCAATTCTCCCTGAATCCCTAGGTGATTTATGTACCCACACCTTTCTGGAAACACATTCTAAATACTGAATGATTGAAGATGTTCCATGTTATGGAGAAATTCAATCAAATACATTACAGAGGACTTTCTCCTCTATTAAAGTTGATGTCAGAACTCCTACTGAGTTCAGTAAGAGTCAGGGTGGAAACCTACACACTTCTTTGCTTTTGAGATAATATCTTGTAGTCCAGAACTTGATGTCCCCTACCGTACCAGCTCAGGAAAGCATGAAATTAAAAACCAGGTGACCCTCCTTTGATGGCTTGGTCTGATTCTGCAGGCAGCACACCCAGGACACAACAGAAGCTGTCCTATTGGAAGCTAATGAAAGGCAAAGTGATTTCCAGAGCTGCTACTTCACTGGTGAAAACCTGACAGCAAACTGTGGGGGAGCTGGTGTGCAGCTGTGATATCTTCTAACAGCCAGTTTAATGCTGCTTTTCAGCAGGTTTTTTATTTCCAATAGCATTTAGTCATTTACTTACCCTTTTGTTTTCCTGCTAGGGGACAGTGAAGGCTTTGGAGAAGGAGATTGCTCTTCTGAAGCAGGAACTGGCCATACATGACAGCTTGGTAAGGAACAGGCTGCAGCGTCTTAGATGGGACCTAGTTAAAGCTTTGTCCTGATCTTTCTTTTGCAGTAGGATCAGCTAACTCAGCATCCAGTGTGATTGTATTTTTCCTTCAGCTTTCAGCACTGTCTTTTGGGGTTTAGGCAAAGCTCTGAAGATCCTATGCAGTGAGACTGTCATAGCTTCAGTCCCCAGCAACCCCACTCTTTTTTTTTTCAGACTTTTGAAGTCTGTGTGATTGAAATGTGCAGGGGATGCATTGCTTCCAGCATGTCCCCGAGTCCCATGTCCTGTCAACTCAGACGGTGTGAAGTTGCAATCAGAAATTAAACATGAGGTTTCCCTGGGCACGGTAGAGCCACATGAGATGTTCACTAGACTTGCTCAGCTTTTTGTAATTCGCTGATACTCAGTTGTTCACCTTTTTTCTCAGGCAAATCGTTCTTTGGTGACTTATGACCCTCTGTCTGACATCCAGATAGAAGAGATTAAGTCTCAAGTCCAGAGATACCTAAAAGGAGCCATTGATGAAATTGATGTAAGTAGCTTTCTAGTGGAAAAGCACATAAATACTGATTCCATCTCATTTTACTCTGGAACAGAAGCAATGAAAATGACTTCTGAAGAGGCTGTCTTTAACCCTAAAAGTGCTACAGAATTGTAATTTAATTTATTTATTGTGTCTTAAGGACTGTCTCTTTGTTTTCATTCAACTTTTGCTTTTTTTGGAAGCTTGAGAAGACTTTGCCTCAGTGCTGAAACCCTTTGAATTGGTTTATTTAGAACTTCTTTAAATAATTAATGTAAAAATTTTGCTCTGCCAGTGTCAAACTAAATCTTTGCAAGGTTTGTTGCCAAAATATGTCCAGTCTTTCAGAGACAGGCTCATTAGGGCTCGGTCTCTTCCCCTGAAACTAGCTGGTGACTGCAAAATAGTTGTGAAAAAAACAGTAGAAGTCCTGTGGACACAAATATTCCTGCCTGGGCAAACAGGAAAACAAACAAAATGTAAGAAAATGGAATTTGCAAATGCACACTCAGAGCTACCGTGAAATTTTGTTTGGTTGTGAGCAGAAGCCACTGTGACAAGAGCGCAGAAGTTGCTGGAAGAGTGTTTTCTGAACAGTTTGATAACCCTTTAGTTTAAACAAAACACTCAAGACACTTTCTCTCATTTCATGTAATCATTGTCTTCTCTCAAAGTCCCTGTTTTCTCCCTCCCAAGGGCAGGAGTGGAGCAGAATAAGGGCATATGTGAAGGTGTGTTCTACCTGACCTGCAAAATGTGATGTGGAGCAGGGAAGGTAGAGAAGGACTAAGGACTTTTAGACAGGGAAGGAAGTCTTTAATTGCACTGAATAATCTTTCAGAGAGGGTTGTGAACAGAGGCATGCATTTCATAGCTTGGGCCAGCCTTTTGGACCTTTGCAGAGCTGAGGGCAGATTCTTGCTCATCTACAGACTGCCCATTATATATTTGTCCATGACTCTGATCATTATCTCCAAAACAGAGAGAGTAGTATGGCTTGACTGCACTGATTTGTTATTATGGGTAAGAGGACTAACAATAGTGCTCTGGCAGTTCTAAGTACTCAGGCAGTCTCGGCCAGCAGTGCAAAGAGAAGTAGCAGGATAATATGCAAGGTCAGTAGATGCCATCTATGTAATTTAAAAAATTATTATAATTAATTCATTGCCTCTATGGCTGTGCAGTAAATGGAATTTACTGCAGTCTGTCAGATTGCTCTCTCTTTAAAAATCTTTTAAGGGTGAGCTATGTATCCACCTCCAGCCTGACTTTCAGGATAAAGGTAATTCTCCTTGAGCATGGATACCCAGCAAATGGAAAGCGGAGTCCTCACAGTCTGAAATATTTGAATCAGTATAGCTGACCACAGCCTAGAGATGCTTACCTACATGTTCAATGTATGCCTCTCTTCCTCAGATAGTGAACCTCAGGCAAATCCAGGAGGTATTCAAGCAGTTCAAACTGATTTTAAGGTAAGATATCCAGGGTTGATGCATATCACAGTAGGGTTTACAAATGCTACCAGGCTTTTATCTGTGGTATCACACTTACAGTGACATGAGTGAATCACAGAATCAGAGAGTGGTGGAAGGGACCTTAAAGCTCATCCAGTTCCAACCCCCTGCCACAGGCAGGGACACCTTCCACTAGAGCAGGTTGCTCCAAGCCCTGTCCAACCTGGCCTTGAACACTACGCGGGATGGGGCAGCCACAGCTTCTCTGGGCAACCTGTGCCAGGGCCTCACCACCCTCACAGGGAAGAACTTCTTCCTCAGATCTCATCTAAATCTCCCCTCTGTCAGTTTAAAGCTGTTTCTTCCTTGTAATGGAAAACACAATTCTGGACAAATTCTGCTGGCCTCTGCACAAGAAGACTATTGCCTCTAACTTCCAGTGCTCGTAAGTCATGTGCAAGGGCTCTCGATGGTGAATGTCACTGGTTAAAAATTCTTCTTGGCAAATATACTCTCACTGAGCATAAAATGTGTGGGATCTCTAATCATGGAGCATATCTCCATTGCACAACGCACTCTGCAAACAGATCAAAAGAAAAAGCAGACCCTGCAGGATGAAGTGATATGAAGTGGTCTTACCACAGCAGCCTCTAGAAGTCATCAGGTTAACTTGGTTTTTTTAGAGATTGTGGGAAAGGTAGGTCACAAAACAATTGCAGGAGCATGATAAGAAGGTTCTGTGGCTGTTTCCAGGCAGGTGCTCTCTGATGTGCGGTGTGGGATGACAGAAAGCAGGAAAGTGGCTGTTGGAAAATGTCACCAGTGGATGGTGAAAGTTGTTTTTTTAGGCTGAAGGAAGGAAGGTGAATGACAGGCTCCTAAAAATGAGGACAAGCAGCCTGCATGTCATGAAACAGAAGAGAACAAAGAAGAATAAGGGTATAAGGGCAACCCACGCAGTCCCTGCCCCATCAAGCTGTGTGACCTGGCTTGGGCCATAGAGGTTGCAACTCACAAGAGTGACAGTGGCATATTGCTGTAGAAAAGCTGCATTCCCTTGAAAAACTTGTGTGAGCACAAGTGTCTGTAGTACATTGTCACACTGGGCAGTCAGGCTTTGCTGGGGACCCGAGACCAAAATGGGTTTAATGATAAAATTTTGCTTATTAGTTCCTTTTAACTTGAGGCTCATTTTATTGTTCTGAAACAGTGAGGTTTAGTATTTTTTAACTTGGAGATTCTTTAAGAATTTTCAGTCTTGTGTAGTGTATTTAAACCTACTGACAATGCTTTTCCATAAAAAAAATCACTCAGTTTGAAAACCACTAGGTTAAAGGAAGGGGATGGCACTGAATGGAGGTAATAGGATTTGATCTGGACCACTAAAAGGTTATGCAGAGTATTAAAATAGCCATCAGAAAGCTTCTATATGTGAGAGGCAAAAAGGGACTTTGTAGAAAATAGAAAGGAAGAGGAGAGTGAATAAAGGTTACAGTGGCTATGGGAAGAATGGAGGGAGCAAGATTGGGTGTTTGGGAATGAGATCACAGATAAAAAGATTATTTTCTTTGGAAATCTGATATTAGCAATTATCAAAGGTTTTGACATAAGAAGTAGTCCTCCTTGAACACACTAAGAGGCTGTTTTCTCCCCTAGTCAACAGGAGAGTGAAGTGGAGGCCAGATTACGAAGCAAGTATGCTCTGATAGACAAAAATGACTTTGTTGCTGTTGCTGCTCTTCATAAGGTAATGTCCGGTGCTTGAGCCTGTCCCAGAATCAATCTTAGAATTGGCTTCTTTGCTGCTGTAACATGAATTGCCTCAAGTTCTCAACTTTTCCCTGTTGAAATACGAAGCTCAGAAATCAAAGAATCACCATAGTACCATAGAATGGTCTGGGTTGGAGGGGACCTTAAAGCTCATCTAGTTCCAACCCCCTGCCGCAGGCAGGGGCACCTTCCCCTAAAGCAGGTTGCTCCAAGCCCCGTCCAACCTGGCCTTGAACACTGCCATGGATGGGGCAGCCAGAGCTGCTTTGGGTAACCTGTGCCAGGGTCTCACGAGATTTCTAAGGGTGATTTTATTTCTTTTGGAACACTAGACCCACGTTATGCTCCCTCTAAGTGGCTGAAACATTTGGCATATGAATTTGAGGATGATTTTCACCCTATTTTAGTTCTCACTTCATTCTTACAGATGTGTTTCCCTGAAATACTTGGTAATGTATGCAGATTTCCATATTAAATGGTACAACAGGATGGAATAACTGTTGGGCAAGGGCTGTATAGCTGTTGTGGTATAGAAAGCTACAGATCTAATGCTTTCTGGTCCATGTTTTATTTCTTCCTGTTTCCAGGCAGGTGTGGTTGATGTGGATGGCCATTTGGTGCAGGAAGAGGATGAGCAGGCTTCTGACATTAGAGCTACTCCTTCATCCAGACGTGGTAGGAAGAAGAAATCCAGGAGGAATAGTGAGGTGTCCAGGTGAGTTAAGTAGCCAGACTGCTCTCCCTTTTCTCTGATAACGCGTCATCGCAGTGACCAGTTTTGGTCAAGGTGTGATTGGCAGCAACCCATGGAGAAAGGCAGAGATAAAGCTGGCTAAACAAGTATGTAGAAGTTTTGTGGTTCCTCAGGCAAGACATTCCAGCACAGTGCTGCAAGGGTTTGTGGTGTCCTTATGGCCACCACCCACACCATCAGAAGGACATGGACCTGTTGGAGTGAGTCCAGAGGAGGCTCTTGGCCATGGGAGCAGTGGTAGAAAGAGCCAGTGCAGGGGGCCTTACTTTTATAAATCGAAGGATCTTTTTCTACTCAGTGCCTCACCACGCTCACAGGGAAGAACTTCTTCCTCAGATCTCATCTAAATCTCCCCTCTGTCAGTTTAAAGCCATTCCCCCTTGTCCTGTCCCTACCTGCCCTTGTCGAAAGCCCCTCTCCAGCTTTCTTGTCAGCACCTTTAGGCACTGGAAGCTGCTCTAAGGTCTCCCTAGAGCCTTCTCTTCTCCAGGCTGAACAAGCCCAGCTCTCTCAGCCTGTCTCCATAGCAGAGGTGCTCCAGCCCTCAGAGCATCTTTGTAGCCTCCTCTGGACTCACTCCAACAGTTCCACATCCTTCTTATGTTGGTCCAAGTCCTTGTATTAGAGAGGAGAGGAAGTGCCAAGGCATCAGTATCCACATGACACAGTGTGCTCCTCTGTGCAGTTCTGATTTTTAGGGAAATGCGAGGAGATTTAGCAAGCACTTTTCTGTATCCCTTTTGAAGTCACACTGTCCCCTGCAGATAAGTCTGGTGCTGTTTGTGGAGGTGAGCTGAGGGAGAAGAACAGAGAGCTGGGCTTCATTTAGATATGGGTTAGATCAAATCCTGGGGGATTTGGTTTGTAGGTTCCTCTGAAGGTAAAAAGGGTTATCCTGTCTGCAGAGAGCTAGTCCAGCCTGTGCTGTATTCTGTAGTATTTGCTACAGAAGGCAATCTCTCAGCTCTAGGAAGTAAGGATTTGTGAGAACAAGCCGGATCTTATTCCTTGTCAGTAGGTATGTCACTGCAGACTTCTGTAGCAGCCTCATCAAACTGCTAGTTATTTTAATCAGCAATGCTAGCACCTGCAGCAAGATTCAGTTTCATTTCCCTCTTATGAAAAATTTAATTAATCTGGTTCATCTTCCCACCCCTGTCAGGAAAGAAGGAACGAAGAGCAATCTTTCTTGGAAAGATGTGGATGGGGATTTACCATCAAAAAGTCAGGTAACGTTTTCCACCAGGGATCTGGATGTGAAAGAAGTGCCAAGGGACCAGGATACAGCAAATATTGATGCAGATCTCTCAAAGCCATCTCCTGTGGAGGATTCCCAGCAGCCCAAGTAAGTTTTCCCTGTGAGGGAGAAAATCCCCTTTGCCAGAGATTGGTTTACACCAGAGTGATTGCATTGTGTTCCCCTAATACAACTATCTGCTTCAAAGTAAAGAGGAGGGATTCAGAGATCTTCCTTGCTTGGATGCATTAATATGTTGTAGGACAGTAGTGGTTGTAGAGTGTCGTGGTTCAAGCCCAGCCGGCAACTTGGAACCACGCAGCTGCTCGCTCACTCCCCCCCCTCTTCCTTCCTCCCCCTGCTCCCGGAGGGATGGGGAGGAGAATCGGAGGAATGTAACTCCCACAGGTTGAGATAACAGCACTCCAGTAACTAAGGTATAAT